TTTAGTTATCAATTATTTGCTATTCTAAACAATTCGAAATATACCCTCTTTTTTTAAAGATATAGCAATGTATACAGGCAAATTCCAAATATAAATCTATTATGATTTAATTGCAGTTATATGTTATTTATAAATATTATTGTCATTTACATTATTTGTAATTATATACTTCATGCTTATATAATAATTATAATAATTGTCAAAAAATTCGTTGTCACGTTTTTACTATTTACTATTTATTTATTTTGCATTCATCAGCAAACGTATGTGATATTTTTATTAATTAATATTCTCACTGAATTATTGGTATACCACAGATTATTAGTGGTCCAATAAAAATTAGCACTCATCATTAGTGCCATATTATATTATGGCTGTGTTAACAAAGATTTTTCTTAGAGACAGAGAGAGGTATTTAAGATGCTAATTATTTTTGGATCATCTTGTATATGCCAGAGTATAACTTATACATTGCTAAAGTACAACTTTTATACTATGAAATTCATTGTGAGAGCAGAAGTGAGATATCAGGGTTTAATAGGGAGCAAATATTTAAAATACACGAAGCTAATATTTAGATTAAAATGGAAATTCTATTAAACGTATAACAGTATATATTTACTGGAAAAGAGCTGAAGCATCTTTCACCATGGGACTTTGACCGAGGGTTAAAGTTACAGTATTAATGAGCAAAGGGTAGACTAGAGGGAAGAGCATTCAAGTAGTGGTACTAGTTCTCTAAAGAGGACTGTGTAGAGCATGAGACTGAGTGAGACTTCTAGTTGCGAGGCTGAAGAACATGCAACGGGGCTTATACTACTACGTCTGAAAGGGATATTGTGTGAAGTTCCATGATACATGCTCTTTACATTCTCTTCTTCGACTTGAGCCGGTGATAATACCGAGCCTCGCTCGGTTCGTGTCCGTGCTATACAGCGTACATTGCTCCCTAGAGCAAGTTTTAAGTTTCAATATATATATTGAAACTTATTATATTATATAATATTATATTATATATATATTATATATATAAAAAAATGTATGCAGGTATATTCCACGCAATCTGTTTATAATTATTTCTTTAAACATGATATATTTTTTGTTTATATAATCAGGTCCATAATATATATTCTATAGCTACGGAAAAATAATCATTTGTAAATAATAACAACGATTCTTAATTGTGAACACTGCGTATATATGTTATGCAAGTTCATATTTGCTTT